AGAGAGAGAGAGAGAGCGAGAGAGAGAGCGAGCATGGAGCCCAGGATCCGTGGGACAGTAACTGCTGATGATCTAATCTTGCATCACTGAAATCTCAGCAGAGGAGGAAGAGTGTGGGACTGAGAAAGTGATTGAAGAAATAAGGGTTGAAAAGTCCGCAGATCTGGTAAAAGGTATTACACCGACACCTAACTGTTTACAGTTAGCGTATGATGGTACCACTTCCCATAAGATGTAGAAACTTGCAATCGTATAGGTCCTTCGGCCTCTATCCTTACACCATGGTTGTCATATGCCTTATATCTACATACATTATACTAGAAATGTTACAACTGTTTTATTTTAAACAGTCCTATGTATTTTAAAGAAACAGAGGCAACAATAATATTTTCTATTTATTTAGTTTCCATTTTAGATTTTCTGATTGCTTCTTGAAGATTTGAACTTCCATCTGGAATCACTTTCCTTTAGCATTGAGTTCAGTGATAACAGCTGCTTTGAAATCCTTACTTGCTAATGCCAACATCTCGGTCATCTTGGGTCGGGTTGGTCGATTGTCTTTTCTCTGAAACTGGGTCACATTACTCGGTTCTTATGTTGCATGATTTGGAGCGACTCCTGAACATTGTGACCATGATGCAGTGGAGACTGGATTTGGTTTATTCCTCCACGGAGACTCGATGTTTTTGTCTCAGCAGGCAATTAATTGGGTTGGATTCAAACGGGGATTTTTCTTGGGTGCCAGATCGAATCTGGGTTCAGTTCTTTTATCGTTAGCTGCTCTGTGTTCAGGCTGCCCCTCCCACGTGTGTGTGACTCAGGGGTCAGTCCAGGACCCAGAACTTGGGGCTCCCCCTCTCAGAATGTCTCCTGAGATCTCCCTCTTTCTAGTGGCCCCGTTGCCCCAAATGCCTGCTAGCTCTGCGACCTGCGGGAGTGCGGGTGGTCTGCCGGAGCTGTGGCCAGCCTGCCTGACCCCGACTTGCTCCTAGGGCTAAAAACTAAAAAATGGAAAATCACTCCAGCTGCTCCCGTTTCCACGCCTCACACCCCTCCAGAGACCGCCTGCTCTTCTCCACGTCCCAGGTTTGTTTTTTATTTTGTCCAGAGCCTGGACGTGGGCTCAGCTGGAGCTTACTCCACAATGGAAGCGGAAACCTCCTTGAGGTTTTGACATGAAATTTTGTTAAAACTCAAAATTAAGTTTGGAAGAATGTCATTTCTAAACATCGATCCTCGCCCTGGCTGGGCAGCTCAGGGGGTTAGAGCATCCTTCTGATACACCAAGGTTGCAGGTTTGATCTCAGGTCAGGGCACATACCAGCAGCAACCCATGCATGCATCAATAAGTGGAACAACTAGTTGATGTCTCTCTCGCTCTCAAAATAAAAAACAAAGAACTCCTTTTAAAACAAGGTCCTATTTTGTCTACCGATCTGGTTCTTCGAAGTTCCTCAGTAAAATTCTCTTCACATAAATCCTGCACATTTCTTATCAGAGGAGCACCTACGCTTATCATATTGAAAGCGATGGTTTCCTTTGCCTATATTTCCTTGTAATCACTTTGCTGATTTTGGAGATGGGGTTTGTGGCAGCCAGACCTGCAGCAGGCCCTTCTGCTCCTTGTCATGATCAATGGGCAGTTTCATTCCAAAAGCACATGCGCACGTCACGTGGCTTCACCAAGACCGTCAACGGTCCAGTCTGGTTCCTGGTCTGCCCCGTAGCGTCGCTGCCCCCTTGAGATCTTTGGGTTAAGATCCCTGATCTCAGGTTGGTTCTAATTGTCTCTTCAGTGCAGAGTTCAAACATATAAGATAACTAGAGGCCTGATGCACAAAATTCATGCAAGGGGCTCAGCCCTCGCAGCCCAGCGGCCTCATCGCCTCGTGGCCCTGCCCACTGGTGGTTCCGGAAGGTTGTCCAGAAGGTCGTTCCACTGTCTGGTCTAATTAGCATATTAGCTCTTTATTGTATAGGATGAAACAGGCTCTGTCTTGCTGGTAACCTCACATGCTGTTACCTTCAAGAGCTCTGCATGGACAATTTAGACAGAATGGCAAAGAGGTGCAAGCCATTTTCCATGCTGTTCTTTTTGTTTTTTATTTTAAATAGATGGAACCACTCTGAATGGAAATTTCCCACAAATATGCAGAAATACCTTAAGACTGAGATTTTCTTTTCTTTGGGATAAATAATCATCTAGTTACCTGAACCAAATGTGAAAAATAATAAAAATAAAAAGGAGAGCTAATTTAAAACTAGAAACAAAATAGAGCTCATATTGAGTTTTTGAAGTTGACTTATTTTTAAAAATTAATTAATAGATATTAAAATCAAGATCAGGAAAATTTAAGTCAACTTGTCTCCTAAAGCCATACAGACACTTTCTGTTCTCCCATGGTACTTTTACATTCTGAATAGCCGCAGCTTCCCATGAAAACGCATTGGAAGTTAGGCAAATGTTCGGTATATCTCTAGCATCTAATAGGTACTTGTTTGTTGAATAAAATACAAAGTAAAAAAGAAAATATTATTTTCCATAAAGAAGATCTCATTTCTTAAATGTTATTTAGAAAAACAAAAAGTACCTTTAATCGCATGAGTAGTGGTGACACCTGAGAAAATTTTTCATTTCAGACAGAAGAGCTTAGTATTTTATTGTGCTGCCTAATCTCCTAAAAGAAATAATTTCCTCCCCAAAGAAGTTACAAGAGACCAATAGCATGCTAAAAATACTTTATTGTCATTAATACACACATTAAATATACATAGTAAGTGTAATACACTGCGCATCTGATGGAACTCAAATAGCATTCATCAAGGTTAAAAAAAAAATACAGCCATAGAATGGAAAGATGAAACACACACAAAAATGAACAGTTTTCAAATATCGCATGGCTTTACCATGCGCCATAGACAGTCTACAACCTTTCTGATAAGCTCCAGGGGAGGGACTGAACAGGCGTGGTTTGGAGAGACAAGCTGCCAGATGTTCTGCCGAAGGAGAAATGCTAGCTCCCTGTAGTGTTCACTCCCGGCCCGGTGCTGCCCACTGGAAGAAACTGCACTGTGTTTCTTTACCAAGAGGACACACGAAAAACTTCTTCCCGTTGTTAGGACCCATCTTCAACACTGTTCTCAGGATGGAGCGTTTGCCGTGGTTGCAGAACGGGAAGGAGAGGTCTGCCCACTACCGGGACAAACAGAAGAGCGTGGAGGGAAGTGAGAAGTACCCAGGGGTTCGACCTGGGTGCCTTCGGTTAGTGCCATATTGCCTTCATTGCTGTGACTATCAATTTGACGTTGTAAAACCTACAGAAGTCATTCATTGTTACCATTGAAAAAGCCTATCTCTATATATAAAAGCCTAATATGCTAAGTGTCCTCTTTTGAGTTCCACTGACTGGGAGTTCGATTGCTCACTATGACGTGCGCTGACCACCAGGGGGCGGCAAGGAACGAAGGGAGGCCCCAGCCAGCAACCAGCAGTTGGCAGCTGCGAGGAACCCTACCTGTGCATGAATTTCATGCAATGGGCCTCTAGTCTCCTATAAGAAGCACCTCTTACAATTTTGCTTGGATCACACAGAAAATTGCCATAATTCAGAACTTTTATTTGTCTTGCTGTAAAGCAAACACCAATGTTCCTGCAGATCTATTTTAGTTACTGGTAAAACTATTAAGATCATCTGGTCAGTGTGGGTCAGTGGTTGAGCATTTACCTATGAACCAGGATGTCACAGTTTTGATTCTGTCAGGGCATATGCATGATTATTGGGCTTGATCCCCAGTAAGGGGCATGCAGGAGGCAGCCGATTGATGATTCTCATCATTGATGTTTCTATCTCTCTTTCCATCTCCCTTCCTCTTTGAAATCTATAAAAATGTATTTAAAAACAAACAAACACTATTAAGATCAGAGAATGTTCATGATTCTAATTCTAGACTTCCTTCGTCTCCTAAGCAAAGAATGAATCCAATACAGAATTACTCGAACTAATTTAGGCAGTTCCACTGTGCTACTCTTGTTCTTATTAAGTTTGGCCTCAAGATGGGTATCAAGCAGGCTGTGATATGATTAATATTGCTAATATTTCTCCATTACATCTATAAAAGCTTCCCAAGGAGCCAATTTGTGTGGTAGGAGGGAGTCAGTCTTGTGCTGGGGTTAAGATCTGAAATCATGATCAGATTTTCCCTGGGAACTTCCTTAAAAAGATCCTGCATTGAAGACAGATACTTTCCCTCTCAACAAGGACAACCTGAACATTGTGCCCAGCTCAGGAACAGATCCGTTTTTCTCTTCTCTGTTACGCACTAGATCAGTGATGGCGAACCAGTGACACACGAACTCATTTTTTTGGTTGATTTTTCTTTGTTAAATGGCATTTAAATATATAAAATAAATATCAAAAATATAAGTCTTTGTTTTACTATGGTTGCAAATATCAAAAAATTTCTATATGTGACACAGCACTAGAGTTAAGTTAGGGTTTTTCAAAATGCTGACACGCCGAGCTCAAAAGGTTCGCCATCACTGCAGCAGATGAAGCAGTTGAAAAGCATGTATCGTCAAACACGAGAGTGACACTCAGCACGGTGGGATGCCCACACTCTGAGGAATGCAGAGTGAGAATGACCAGAAGGACCTGATTGTTGTTGTTGTTGTTAATCCTCATCCGAGGATATTTTTTCCATTGATTTTCAGAGAGGATGGAAGGGGAAGAGAGAGAAATGTGGGAGAAACACATTGACTGGTTGCCTCCTGAAAGCACCCCAACGGGTACCAGGGATCGACCTGCAACCCAGGTAAGTGCCCTTGATCAGGAATTGAACCTGAGACTCTTCAGTGGTGCATGGGCCAACACTCTAACCATTGAACCATACTGGCCAGGCCCAGAAGGACCCAATTCTTGTCTCCCATCTCCCATTTATTTTCAGGGGCACATGCACAGATCAATGAGGTGTGAGGAATCGCCTACATCCGCACGGTTACTGTGCCATCACGACTGTTGAATCAAGCGCGAGCAGTAGGAGTCGCTAAGTTCACTGTAAACCCAAGGCATGGTAATGGTTTTCCTATGTAGCTCTATGCAGGGCACCTGAAGGTTTTGACAACAGTACCGAGATGAAGAAGAGCACATCTGTACCCTGAATTATTTAGCCACCTGGGAAAATTACTCAATGCCTTTCTATGTTTATAAACCAAGGGCAACACTTCTATACACTGGTTACAAACAGGAGACACTCTACTAATACAAGAGCTATTATTTGATTAAATTTTTGGATGAACCTCCTTGAATTTTAATTCAGGCTTCAGATTGAATGTCAACATGGCTATTTAAAATTTAAAGCTAAGACCGGAAAAGGATGGCTACGTGCTACATTTCAATGACCGCAGTATTCAACTACACCAGAGCAAGACTGATAAATCTCACACTTACTTTGAAAAACCCGCACTGCGCTTCCCTGGGAAGGGGACACGTGTAGAAGGGCCTGCCCTTGTTCTCGCCGCCCTTGCTTACGACCCGGAGGACACAGAGGCGGTGGTGCTGACTGCAGCGAGGGACGGGAGCCAGGGGCGCACAAGCACCATCCGTCGTGTCCATCTGAGGTTCCCTGTAACGACAGGTGACAAAACAACTCCAGCACATGGTACGAAGGGGATCACTCACAGCTCCTCACCCCGTAGAATACAAAGTAATTGTATCAAAAAATGGATCCTGGTCAACTCCAGGTAATCACACAACTGCTAAGGCTAATTCTCAATGCAGCAGCTGCCCCCTGGTGATCAGTGCGCTCCCACAGGGAGAGCTCTGCTCAGCTCCAAGCCGGGCTGAAGGCTGCAAGCGCAGCAGTGGTGGCAGGAGCCTTTCCTGCCTCCTAGTCATGCTAAGAATGTCCAACTGACAGCTTGGGGAGCGGGCCTAAACCATCAGTCGGACATGACCTGAGGGCTCCCGGGCTTCCAGAGGGATGTCTGACTGCCCGCTTAAGCTGGCAGGTGGACATCCCCCGAGGGGTCCCGGACTGCGAGAGGGCACAGGCCGGACTGAGGGAACCCCCCCGGTGCACAAATTTTCATGCACCGGGCCTCTAGTATATATATGAATTTTTAAAAACTGTATCTAGCAGTTATTCTTAATGGCTAAAACATTGGTTCCACTGTCTAATTTATAACCCAGGAGCTGGATAAAATTCAAGTGTATCTACGGACCGGTCTGAAAACAGGCCTCATCCACGTGTTGACGAGATCAGTCACTGAGAGATCAAAAGGCGGATTAGTTATCACACAATTACTAAAGAAAAGCGGAGCTGCCTGCCAGGGCTCCGAGGGGACCACCTGCTCTGCAGGTACCATGTGGGGGGCTCCTGCTCCGCGTCCTGTCCACAGACGAACACTGCAGCTGCCAGACCAGCGGGAAAATGAACTAAGTGGCAGCAATTTGCGATTTATTCCTGGGGAGTGGCTGGGTGCGGGAGGGCTGCTGGGTAAATGCATCCCATCCCTTGGCACTTATTTTGCTGGAGGATCTGGATTGGTTTAGAGGCTCAGGCCTGGGGTTCGTTTTTCCACACATGCCCACGCCGCACTGTCTCCAAGTGAGGCCGTGAGCTGTGATTAATCACACCACCCCCCTGCTAATGGCTGAGGAAGAAATCACTGAAATTTAAGGTTCCATTAATGTTTTTTTTTTAAGTCCCTAATTCGTTAGTGAAATTGTCTGAGATTTTCCACAAAGCACCAAGGAAATAAAAATATGCCAGGATATTTCATTTCAGTACAGCAAATGCCACGATATTTTAAAATGATCACATCTGCTGCTTTTATGCTCAAAAAGGCTCCTTGAAAACGATTTTCCTACAGGACTGCTCCCAACTCAGACCCCGCCACCGGCTCCAATCTGATATTGTTTTACCTTTTATTTGGTGTGTGGAAGGTGTGCGGAAGAGGGGGTAGTCTTATACGGCGAGTATATAACAAACTCTGTATTTTGAGTGGAAATGTTAGGGGGTCGTCTTATACGCCCAGTCGTCTTATACGCCGGCAAATACGGTATGCCAGGATATTTCATTTCAGTACAGCAAATGCCACGATATTTTAAAATGATCACATCTGCTGCTTTTATGCTCAAAAAGGCTCCTTGAAAACGATTTTCCTACAGGACTGCTCCCAACTCAGACCCCGCCACCGGCTCCTTCGTGAACTTTCCATCATGAGCCATGAACTAGGGTTAGGAAGAGAAGGTGGGGTGGTGATCGAGTTCACGCGTGGCCCCCACACTTTAGTTCAAGCGTCTATCATTTGAGAGAGTGATGTACGAAACGTAAGGCAGTCATTATACATGATTATAAACAAAACATTTTTAAAAGTCAGTCAGGGATGAATCATCGGGATTCACTGATGGTAAATTTAGAGTTGGGATGGGAAACTTGAGATAGAAACATCTACGGACCAAAAGTGTCTCAGAAATCGGTTAGGCTTTAAGGATTCCCAGAGGTTGGTCTAGGACAGCGATGGCGAACCTATGACACGCGTGTCAGAGGTGACACGCAAACTCATTTTTTTGGTTGATTTTTCTTTGTTAAATGGCATTTAAATACATAAAATAAATATCAAAAATATAAGTCTTTGTTTTACTATGGTTGAAAATATCAAAAAATGTCTATATGTGACACGGCACCAGAGTTAAGTTAGGGTTTTTCAAAATGCTGACACGCCGAGCTCAAAAGGTTCGCCATCACTGGTCTAGGAGCATATGCCATGTGGTCCCTCATCTCGCTGCCCACAGGAATAATCGGTGCATCAGCCCAGTGCTCACCAGACACCTAGCAGCTCACTAGACACCTAGCAGCTCGCGAGACACCTAGCAGCCAGACCCCTCTGAGGTCACCTGAGACCCCGCCCATGCTGACTCTCTCTGCTCCGCCCCCATTGGTGATATGGGATGCTTGGGAAGAAGACTTTTTGCCATCACTGCATTTGAAATCTAATGAACAAAATAAACTGAAACACAAAATAGGACCAGAGGCGCGGATGCAGGGAGCAGACTGACAGATCTCAGAGGGGAGGGGTGGAGGGGACTGGAAGAGATTAACCAAAGATCATACATGCATATATGCGCAGCCCACGGACACAGACAATAGTGGAGGGAAGGCCTAGGGTGGGGTGAGAGCTAGGTGGAGGGAGGCAAAATGGGGGGAAATGTAATACTGTCAACCATTTTTAAATGCTGCATATAGAGCATTTCTTTCAGAAAGAAAACCTCCCCGACAAACAGCTTGGGGAAGAAAACTGTGGCGCTGTCCCTCTGAAGGAGCTGACGTCAGGTTGGGCCAGCTGGGAAGCCCGGATGAAGGACTAAACATGGAGGGAAGGTGTGGACAGACAGCGCCAGCAGCTGCCATAATCACTAAAGAGCAAGAGGCGACGCTGTCGTTAAACTTCCGTATCCCAGCGACACCCACGGGGCCTTCTCCCGGAGGCACTGGTGGTCCATGAGCACACCTGCTGGGCAGTATTTACCAGCTGGACGTGCAGCTCTCTCTCACTGTAGACACACGTGCTCTTTGGGCCTTTGTGGTGGAAACAAAAACCACCATCCCACAGGGCTGTCTGAGGCGCAGCCACTGTCTCCAGCAGAAACGTCACTAAAAAAATCTCAGATCTCTCTCTTTAGAATAGAAGACACTCACTAACCTGCTGCAAATGGTAGCCTCCCTTTTAGAAAGGCTTTCTTTCGTTGGAAGGAAATAAAATAAAAATGCTAACAGTGGAGACTGATAGCAGGAAAGATCATGGGTGTTTTAAATATTTTTCTTTATGTCCTTTCCAAAGGTTCTGTATTGAACATATCCATGGTGACAGGCAGAAAAGAGTAATTTGTTAGCGATGTGGGGGATTCTGTTTTTCATTCCCTCCCCTCCCTGACATTATAAACTGGAGAAGGAAGAAGCACGTGACTGCCTCGTCTCTCAGGTGTGACTTACAGGACCACGGACCTCTCAGCTTCCTTCGTGTAGATGACTTTGACGACATTGATATAAAAATGAGAAGCAAAAAGTTGTAATGGGAGGAAGGTTGTAAAATTTATTTTAGAGAGAGAGGAAAAGGAGAGAGAGAGAGAGAGAGAGAGAGAGAGAGAGAGAGAGAGAGAGAGAGAGAGAGAGAAAGGAAGGAAGGAAGGAAGGAAGGAAGGAAGGAAAGAAAGAAAGAAAGAAAGAAAGAAAGAAAGAAAGAAAGAAAGAAAGAAAGAAAGAGATTTTTCCATAAGATGAACCTGACAAAACTGCTTTCTACAGTGGCCAATGGCCAATTAGACCCTGGATTTTTTTAAATGTGAACATTTTATGTATAAAATGCAATTCAAGTGACTTTATCTACATCGATAGCAACGGCAAATTCAGTCCTAAGTCAAAACCCACCCCAGGGACTCAGTTTGGAAAATTGTTATTAAACCGGTGCTTGTGATCACTTAAAAACAAAACAAAAAGCACACATACATACAAAAAATAAAAAACCTTAACGCAAATGCCTTTGAGATCAAGGAGGAAGCGTCATACCTGTTAGATAGCCCAGGGCTGCGACCTCCGGAGCCTGGCGATGAGCAGTGGGCCGTTTTCTGTCTTTTGCAGGCGGGACTCCGTAATCTGGAGACGGCGGGCGATAGGCTTGTGGTGTTGGGTGGTTGAGCTGCACTGTTGGCTCTCTCCTCAGAGGGGCGAGGCGTGTCACTGAGACAGACGTTAGTGGGAAGAGGGCTTCGAAATTCCCCGTCTAGAACGCCCTGTGGGCCGTTCTTTCTTCCCGGTGGCCTGGATTTATTGCTGAAATCGGTCAAGACCAGAGTTGTCGTTCCAAAGGCAGTTTTCCTGTTGATCTTCACTTCTGAGCGGGGCTTCCCAAAGCCGTTGCAGGGGTACCTCACCACGTCGCCCAAGGCAGCGGAGTTTTCCTCACTCTTGAGCCTGGAATCTGGAAGGAGAGCAGACATTCTGCAGTATACCTGTCGACGTAATACTGAGTATTGGAAACATGCTTTTATTCTATGAAAACACTTAGTTCACGTACTACGGTGAACTAATATGTAGAACTAATAACACAAAGTGAGCTTGGGCAATGCATAATCAATCCCCTGCTAGGAAAGGGAGCATAACATGCAACAAAGCTTTAACAACGCCGAGGGAGCCGAACCTGGGTTTCACAAAGACTTTCCCTTGCTTCCTATGGCATTGAGGCAGCTACATCGGGGGTGGGGAGCCTTTTTCCTGCCAAGGGTCACTTGGATATTTATAACATCACTAGAGGCCCGGTGCACAAAAATTTGTGCACTCAGGGAGGTCCCTCAGCCCGGCCTGTGCCCTCTCGCAGTCTGGGACCCCTCGGGGGATGTCCACCTGCTGGCTTAGGCCAGCTCCCCAGGGGATCGGGCCTAAGCTGGCAATCAGACATCCCTCTGGCAGCCCGGCAGCCCTCGGGGGATGTCCACTTGCCAACGGGAAGCAGGCCTAAGCTGCAGTTGGACATCCTTAGTGCTGCTGAGGAGGCAGGAGAGGCTCCCACCACCACCGCTCTGCTGGCAACCATCAGCCTGGCTTGTGGATGAGCAGAGCTCTCTCTATGGGAGCACAATGACCACCAGGGGGCAGCTCCTGCATTGAGCGTCTGCCCCCTGGTGGTCAGTGTGTGTCATAGTGACCAGTCATTCCCAGTCGTTCTGCTGTTAGGGTCAATTTGCATATTACCCTTTTATTATATAGGTTTGTGGGCCACACAAAATTATCCACTTAAAAATCAGCCTGTTTTATTTGGCCAAACATTTAATGAACTCACCCCCAATACGGTGGCAGGGCCAGACCAAGTGATTTCCCCACCCCTGCTCTGAAGGTTCTTCTGCTCTCACTTTGGTTACCATCAGGCAGGGGTAAAGCAGGGGTAACTGAGAGGTGGTGTGACTAAGAGCTTCAGAGCCAGCAGCTAGAGGCCGCATCCGGGGGGTCAGGAATGTTTGGGGGAATGACAAGACAAAGTGGAAGGCTCATTAAAAATAAGACGAATTACAGAGATTTAACATTTATCCCAAATGTTTCAACCCAGCATCCTCAGATTGTGGAATCTGTACTGTAAGGCATTCTCGATTGCAGTTAAGATGGATGTCTGTCATACTCAGAAAACAAACCAACAGGAAAACAGCCGGACGCGTCAAGGCAGTAAAGGTAGAAACCCAAGGCTGGCTTTCTGAGGGCTCCCCGCTGAGGGACGCGGGAGGGACAGGCAGACACAGGAGCCATGCGGTCCCTTTGTCCCTTCTGCTCTGTGCGAGGGGCGCCGTGGCTCTTCCTTCTGCCCAGAGAACAAACCACCATCCGACAGCTAACACAATGCGGGGTCTCTAAGTCAAGAACGAACTTTCTCATCTCTAATTGAAGAAAGAAAGAACACTCTGAGAATACAATAGAGGCCAGAGGCCACATCCATGCCAAGGTTCTTAATCACCGGTTTCCTCGAGGTTCCACATTCTCCAAATTGTGAACCACAAAGCGTTATTCTGTGGGATTTCAATGGAATCAGCACAATTGTCCGGGTAAAGACTTTAATAACAAGGGGCGGGCAGCCTAAAGAAGAGAGGAAAAATGCGGCTCTTTTCTATTCCACCTGCAAAGATATTCTTACAGGGACCCTCCCTCCCCATTGACGAAACCTGGGGACTGAATGACAGACTGCGGAGTTGCTGAAATCTGCATAAAACAGAGCTTTCCTGAATAATTCATCAGGACCCCAAAGCGCAGATGCGATCCTGTCAGTTCCTGAGACACGCAGGCGCACACTTTTTTAGCACAAGAGTTTTGTGTTTTCCCTGCCGCCCCGCAGAACGTCAGCGTGGTGTACATGCAGCGGAGTGTGGCCCTGGTTAAGAGACATCGAGCTAGAACGAGGTACGCCCCTGACCTGGAGTAATGAAAGGTCTGCGAGAAGGAACGCATTCCAAGTCCACGGTCATGCTTACCCGCAGGCCTGGGCGCCAGGCAAGCGTCGCAGGCCTGGGCAGAAGGCATGTTTATCAGGGTGCAGACCCCACACGCCCAGGCCTCTTCCCACTTCCTGGCCACGTGGTCCCCAAGATGGTCCCGATGGGGCGTTGGGCCGACGGCAGTGTTTCTCGAGGGTGGCCTGCTGCGGAGAATTTTTACAGCTGACCATGAAGCCTGCCATTACTGCGTTGTTCTTATACAGTCCGGGTGTTTGGGGATCTATTACAGAACCATGAATATACCCAAATGCTATAGGTTTACTATTGCAAACTATCTCAAGAAAACGTGACTGCTGTTCAAGACAGAAATACCACATAAAAGATTTTATTCAGGATCAAGGAGTCCTGGTTTTGTTGCTGTGTTTTTATACCAACTAAAAATATTTGATATACCCCCAGGAAGCATTTCTCAAATAATGTCTTAACTAAGAGGTTCTCTTCCCAAAGCAAAACTAAAATATCTTTTTTCAGACAAATCAGGGGAGAGGAAGAGTCACATAGACATTAGGATATTGAAATAGAGTTTGGCTCAGTGGATAGAGCGTCGGCCTGCGAATTGAAGGGTTTCGGGTTCGATTCCAGGCAAGAGCACATGCCTGGGTTGTGGGCTCGATCCCCAGTGTGGGGCATGTAGGATGCAGCCTGTCAGTGATTCTCTCTCATCATGGATGTTTCTCTCTCTCTCTCCCTTTCTATCTGAAATCAATAAAAATATATTTTTAAAAAATGTGAAATAAAGTTTTACATTTTCTTCAGGTGCTTCTGGAATTCTCCACAGAAGCTACGAAGGCCTGTGCCAATGGGCTGGTCTGTAATGATGACAAGAATCTCCAGCCTCCTGTTATTTCACTATGGTCCACCCGTCAGAAGAGGGGCTATGGAGGTCAGGTGACCGATGGCGTTTTAGCTCAAGGTCATCCGCAGTGGGCCCAGTGGGCTCCTGGGCCCCATCTGTGGTTATTTCCCCTGTTCCCGAAAGCATCACTGCAACAGACAGACTCAGCTACCAGCTCCCGGCAAAATCACCAGTCCGCTGTTTCACCAATAAGACAGACATTCTGTAAAGAGAGCTTGTGCATGTTTCATGTCATTTCTAATTAAAGCGAGACGTTTGAAGATCGTCTTTCCAGTTATTGGCATATCTACACGTCCTCCTAATCACGTTGCAAACAAGACTGCAGCCAAAGACTGGATAGGAACATCGGAGCTGGGGACTTGCCACTGAATCAGAAGTGGCCCAAAAGTCCCCCGTGGCTCCTCCTGGTTCTTCATGATGTTATTTACTGTTTCCTTTTTAATTTTTAAATATATTTTTATTGATTTCAGAGAGGAAGGCGAGGGAGAGACAGAAACATCAATGATCTGCGAGAATCATTGATCTGCTGCCTCCTGCACACCCCTTCACTGAAGATCGAGCACACAACCTGGGCATGTGCCCTGACCGGGAATTAAACCTTGACCTCCTGGTTCATAGGTTGGCGCTCAACCACTGAGCCATGCTGGCCGGGCACTATTTCCTCCCAAGCTTCCAATACTTCTGAGTTAGGCCTTCTTATTAACAGCCTGAGAGCTATTCCGTGGTGGTTCCCTTACGAATGGCCTTTTATGAAAGTGGGGCCACTGCTACCCCCTGACCAGGCATCTCACCCTCTGTCGGCATGGCGAGCATCTTCGCTCTGGCAGCGAGGACAGAAGTATGTCATTCTGCTGTTCTCTCCCAAGCGACACACCGTTATTCTGCTGCGGCACCGACCGCAGTGAGGACGCCCGTAAACCTTATAGTGTTTGGAGACAGCAAGTCCTGCTTTACGGCACTAAAACCAAACAAAGGAACAACATTATAATGTTATCCACAAAACAGTGTGGCTAAGGAGCCAAAGACAAGTTCTTGAAAGCCATTTCTGAAAATTAACTTTTTAAAAAATGTGCATTTGTCTATACTAGTATGTCTGGATAATCTTTTCTTTCATCTGAGAAAAAGATACTGGCAAGATTCAGCAATATTTGTTAAATAAGATTTCCTGTGACATAATTAAGTAATTACTTTATTACTTATTAGTATTCAAAACTGTTCTTTGAATAGCTTTACCCTCTTATCTAAATGGGATATAAGAGTTCCGTAATTCAAAATGCCTTTCATGCTGTTAAGGTTTTAAAAAATTAAACGTAATTATGTAGTTAAAAGAAAAAGAGTAGATTAGCGTTAAATCCGATTATTTTGGGAACTCGGAAGCTGTCCACTTTGTTTCAACAGCCAACAGAGAATTTAACAAGACCATCTACTTGGTTGATCTGACAAAGGAGAGTTTTCAGTTTTTAATCCTCGATTCACTTAAAAAAGAAAATAAGAATTCAAATGCCATCCTAGCAGAGAACAGGTTCCATTTTGGTATAAATTCTATTTCAAAAGACATTTGAGATTCTCCGTCACAGTTTTATTCTGCTCACGTACGTTCAAGGCTCCCACAGAAAGAATATTTTGGGTTTACATCAGCAGTGTGAAATTTCAAAAGCCCAGAAATATGGCTCACCATATATAAGCTGAAAATTACACACACATTACATTAATTTAAGCAAAGTACTGAAATACCCAACTTAATCTGGGTAGAAAATGGGTAGCTGCCTATAATTACACTAAAGGCCTGGTGCACGAATTCATGCACGGGTGGGGTCCCTAGGGGTGGCCTACAGAGATCAGACCCCAGATTGTGCCCCCGGCCTCACAGGCCCAGCTCCAGCCTCCAGCCTCTCAGGCTCACAGCCCCACTTTGGCCTGGCCCTGCTCCCTCACCTGCTCCAACATCCTGCCTATGGGGCGATCGATCAGTGCCGGGCACCCCACCCGGCTCCCTCAAGGCCTGGGAGCTGGGCAGCAGCCCCAACCCCCACCGCCGCCACTGGTCGCAGTCTGCGGGGTGATCGGATCCCCACTTGCACCTGCCTTGGCCTGGCACCGCCCACTCACCTGCTCCACCATCCCACCACAGTCCCCCTGTAGTTGGGGCCCATTGGGGCCGGCAGCACCTCCACTGCAACCCGCTGCCAACTGCGGTGCCAATACCCAAAATGTTTCATGCCGCCCCCTGGTGGTCAGTGCATGTCATAGCGAGCGGTCGAACTCCAGGTCTCCCAGTTGAACTCCCGGTCGAATGACCGCCCGAGGAGATAATTCGCATATTAGGCTTTTATTATATAGGATTACCTTGGAAGAATAAGTGAGAATATATAATACTAGAGGCCCAGTGCACAAAATCCATGCACGGGTGGGGTTTCTAGGCCTGGCTGGCAATCAGGGCCCAGTGGGGCTATCTGGCCCAGTCCTGATCAGGGTCAGGCTGGCCAGGGCCTGCTGGCTGCCAGAAAGGGCCGATGGGACAGGGAGAGGGACTGGGGGGGGGGG